TTCATAAGATATTCGTAATCTCTAAAGTTTGTTTCACACAATGAGGATGCGCTCAAAATCGCGTAAACAACATCTGCCAACTTGTTCAACCAACATAGTTGATAGTTCAAGCCGCCAATTATCCAATGTCATTGTACAACTGCTCTAAATCTAACTGCCGATGCGTCACTACTCACTAGTATAGTTTTGATTGACTGTAATTCACGCTTCGAAACTTGTTGTTCGAATACACAGTTTCCTTTGTTCTTACCTAACTTAGGATTCGATCCAGTCATTCGATCGTATTTAAAGTTATACGGCACTCAGTAGCCTGTAAGAGTTATACTTATAGTACATTAATTACCGTAACTTGAGTTATCGCCGTATTCTCTATCACAGCACGAGTAATTGCAGAGCTAGAGGTTTGCAGGTATCCGTGTACGACACTTCAATATCGTACCCGTGTATTTCTTAAGTACCGTGTACGACACTTCTTTATCGTACCCTTGTACATTTTAATTACCCGTGTACGCCACTTCGTTTATACCGTACCTTTGTGAGCAGGCAGTATTTACCATTGGTACGCCCCGGGAGGACTGATCTGGTTGCCAATCGTATTTTACACTATACTCCATAACGTCTTCGGGTATGAACTAAATGTAACCCCTTGCGATCTTGGTCAATACCCACGTTGTCGTTAGTTGTTGCGGGAAGCACATGTTTTGGCAATATTCCACCACACAAAGCCAACTATATCGTGAACATTTTGATGCGGGCACGTGATTTCCTGTTCCCGTATATTTGGTATATTTTTTAAATGCGGTAATTTTAGAGAAAAAATTACTGTCGTAAATATACGACAGTTGTAAACTGTTCCCGTCGTAAACAGGACAGTTATTTCGATAATTCTGACGTATTTAGGATCACCTTACGATAATTAAATTTTTGCTTGGAAAGCTTCCAAATAACAAGGTTTAAAATATCATTACATTTGTTAATCTTCTACAGCTTTGAATTATTTGGCCAGTTAAATGTTTCTCCGTAGCTCTAAACATAAAGGTCTGATCAGATTCTTTGCTCTGTCCATCAACTCGAGAATTTTACTAAGAAATGAAAATTTCTAGCGTAAAACGGGGAACATTCCTCCGTAATTTATCATCTTAGATTGATCATACCCTCTCTTAGTCTTACTACACAAGTACTGAAATGAAGAATCTGCAACAGTGACACTTTAAGGAAGTTCAACGGCAACCATCTGCAGTGTTAGTGTGGTCATACAAGCGGGACTGTCGTGCTTGACAATACATTTCACACAATTCATTTTCTTCATTGCATGCACTTATAGCTTTATAGTGACCTAGTCTGTCGCTATCTGGCTTGACATAAGGTAGACGTTTTTAATCTAAAGTAAAGGCTGCATTATAATGTATGAGTAATATTGCATAATGTATAATAATATTTTAGTAATGTGCGGTTTTAGGAGAGGTTTGTAGTCCGTTTAATATAGTTCAGATGGTAGTGTGGGTAAGTGTAACCTATTATATAACCTAACATAACCCATACGGCATACATGTAATCTGATTCAAATCGATTATCGGGTTGGACGGCTTTTTTAGAGCAGATTACATTTACAGCTTAGCTCGTGGGAAAGCGGCGTAAAGTATGTACGTTTTGCAGATCATGTTTCACTTTTTGACGATAAACCTGACAATTTTAACTTCTAAGCAGGTTACTTCATGTAATTTATATACTTATAGGACAACGAAAACTTTATCGACGTTGCCGGTCCTGTTTTTCCGTTTACTGACAAAAGTTCTTAAAGACCATTTTTGAAATTTTAGATTCTGTTATCCGAATTTTTAGGTTAAGAACTGTCCCTGAAAACCATTAGAAACCATCAGAACTAATCCCTGGCCCCAACATGAACAACATCTTTTAGAGAACCCCTACAATGCCAAAATTGGCCAAAAATTTGACTTATCTGTTTAAAAACCTCGAATTTTGGAATGGATTTAAGCAATTTTGTCAGAAAACAACAGTAGCCTTTACAAATGTTACTTAATAAACTTTACAAAACAAATGTTTTACGTTTTCTAATCTACTACAAAAAGTCCATGTTTAATGTTTATTGTCTATTCCTTCACACGTTTATTGTGTGACAATGTTAAAATGTCCGTGCCGGCCGTATTTAGGAGATATCTTATCACCTAATTAAGAAATCGTTATGGGACAAAGTTTGCCTAAAGGATGAAACGATTATCTTAACCATCAAGGCATCAAGTGTTTATGTAATTTCCAAATAAACAAATACCTAAATTTTTGAACTCAGAATTCTTATTCTTATTTTGATTCAATTGTTTTGTCAATTGGGTGTTAAATTGTTTACGCTAAATTATAACATGTTTTATGACTCAGGTTTTGTTATTAGGCTTTTGGAGAATCAGGTGTTAGTTAATAGTTTAACTTACTTCGTCAATATTATATGGTCTATCTTCGTTCAACATATTCTGAAGTAGAAAGTTTCAAATAAAAGTTGATCAATACGTCATGGCGAAAACTTTGGACTATGTATATTTCCTCTAAATTGCATTTGCTTCAGTTTCTGATGCGACATAAGATTCTGACACACATTATCAAAGTGACAACCTTTGCTGCTCAGCATTTTATGATTGTTAAGGCTAGTACTAGTAGGCTGCCTTTCGCTTGTCTAAACACTAATATAACATATAATTGCTATTAAAGATTTTATACCGTGTGATCGGGGACCAGGATCGCATTAAACAAAGTAGCTCGCAGTTACCTGGTTACGAGATTTTATCGAGTATCCAAGACAGGCAGTGACTTTAAAGTGCCGTTTTTATATGCGTCCAGAATTTTAATATTTGAAATCCAGCCGACGTTCCATTAATTCTAGCCAACCTTGTAACCACGAAAAGCTTCAAATGTGCTTAAAATGTCACACCGGAATGCAATTTAATCTACTAGCAGGAACCCGTCTAACCCTAAAGTGGTGTCAAGACTCGAGAGACTAAAATAATTATTACCTATTTAATTCGCGTTTTTGACACCACTTGGGAGTCCAAATTTTGGGCACTAAAATTATTATTCCTTGGCCAATTTTTTATTTTTTCATGCTGATTTGAAGGCCATTAAAGCATTTAACCCAGTCAAAAAAGTTTCTGTTGTATTTCAAAGGATTTCAAAGGATTTCAAAGGATTTCAAAGGATTTCAAAATAAAATGATCATTACAATAAACATTGTGTCGGATCTAAATTTTAAAAAATAAAGATAAAATGAAAGTCAAAAACGAAAAAACCGAAACCTGTCCTGAAATATTCACGGTTGACGGTTATAGTCTAAAGAGTTTAAAAACCGAGCTATTCTAAAAAGGAATGTTCATGACGCGAACAACCAGTCCTTTGTGTCCATGCCTAAGATCCACACATAAATTCCACACTAAATCAAAAGTGTGAAACGCACACGAAAAATAACACACTGTCGGATCCGCGTTTCGCATGTTGAGTCCGTGAGTCATGTTGTAGGTCCTTCCTTTTCTTTTCTGTCACTCGGGGGGAACCTCCGCTTGTTCACTTTACTCAAGAATCTGGCAGTTTCTCTGATCAATAGGATATCCTTGAAGAGGTCGGCAAAGGTCTCCGCTCCAGAGGTGATCATGGTTCTCGCCTGCTGACCTATGTTTCGCCTCAGGTCGTCGTAAAGCGAACAATCCGTGAGAACGTGTTTCTCATCTTCAATGATCGGCTCAAACATTGGTAGTTCGGCCAGTATACCGACAGCTTCAAGGTCTGATGAAGAACAGTGCTTACAAATGCGACTGAGCGGATTTTCACGGTTGATGGCGTATCTACCGGTCTCGATGTTGAACTTATGAGCACTCATTCTGAACTGCGCCAGCCGCTTCACCTCTTCTCCACTGAGCTGCAGGTTCAGGTACGCTTCAGCTGTAAATTCACTTTTGATAGTGTTGTAGAAACTGAGCTTCCGGTTGTTTTGCCGCTCCTCGTTCCAACAGTTAATAAAAGTACTACGTAGTGCTGTTTTGAATTGGTTGGGGTAGGTCAACCTGCGAGATGATACTGACTGAAGGCTTTGTCGGAGATCTTCTATACCTTTGTACCATGGCAGATTGAGTGTGCGTTGTTCTATGAACGCCTGTCTGGCTAGACTTGTGCAACCAGCTCTGTCCATTTGCTCAAGTCGGTTGAAATACCCAAATACTTGCTTTGATGCCTTTATCACTAGGGGGCAGCGGCCTGTATCACCCCAGTTGTATATCTTTTACGGTTTTTGCGGAAAGTTGCGTTAAAGTTGATGCCGTGGTGTCAGTAAAATGGCACAGATATATATATATATATATATATATCGTCTCGCTTTATATATAGTAAGATTTGTCCAACGCCTTTTTTTTTTTATCTAAAAGAATAAAAAAAATTGTGTGCGTGTGTTTTTATATTTATTTTGCTACGGCGCATGTGAAACCCCAGGGCATCCAGCACCGGAGAAGCTGAAATGACACTCTCTGAACCCTTGGTGCCGCTCAGTTTTTGCCTCTTGGCTGGTAAGCCGAGTCTTGATCGATTAACTCAGCTTCTTCGGTACAACACAGACCGGAGGGTACTATTAGCCGCTTTGCCGGTGGTATCCTCCTGGTGTCCTGGGGTTTGGCAGGTTCCTCATTTAAAAAAAAAAAAAAAAAAAAAAAAAAAAAAAAAAAAAAAAAAAAAAAAAAAAAAAAAAGATTTGTCCAACGCCTTTTCGAAACTGTATCTTATTCGAATTTCAATAAAACTGCATGTCAGTCACTGTCATTTAGGCAGTTCTGCAGAGCGTTATTTGATTTGATCGAGCAGTTGCATTTAACTGTAAGACTGTAATAGCCTTTAAAAATTGTTCCGATTTCCATTTTGTTATTTTGCTTATAAAATTAATATAGATGCAGAATGATTTTCACCCATCAATATTCAATACTCGAAATTTCCATTTTTAATCTAATTCTCTCAGGAGATGTAAGAAAGCAATGATAATGAACTATCTGTAAAATAGTACGACAATAGAGCACCACCTCTAATTGTATGCAAGGAATATTCATATTCAATAGAACACAACAGTCGACTTTTAGCGGCGGTAGTTTAAGCCTTTACTTCCTAAATCGTTGTTAGAACTTCGGGGTTTGGAAGGAGGAAGCATATCGATATGGACAACATTACAGTGAATTATTTAACCTTTACAGACGGCCCCACAGAAGCAGGTAAATCTCTTCTATAATTTTACTTTGATTTACTTAGATTTGATTTTTAGTCGAATAAATATTATAAATTGTTACATTTAGATGAGTGCACTGCCGTTCCCTGAGAAAAGGCAGTAAGTCACATCGATGTCATTTTGAGAAAATGGGAAAAACGTGTTTGCTGTTTTTTAGGTAATTTTACTTGCATAAAAGGGGTTAATTTTGACGTTTATGCGTAAATAAATTATTGTCGTATGTCCTCAACAGTAAACATGCTTAAAAGCATAAATTCACCAACACTGATCTATAAAAACCATTTTTCTCCAGAATAACTAAACTATTTTCCCATCCGCATTGGACTTACATCCTTTTCTGAGGGAATTGCGGACTTACTGCCTTTTATCAGGATCGATTTCAACCGATTCCTCTCTAGAAAGGCAGTAAGTCCATTTTTCCTCAGATATAAAAGTCAACACAAAAAATGCAACATTTCTATATTTTTGATCATATCTTTGCAATATCATTATGTGGGCCTCCTGTGCATTGCAAGTGTGTAATATTGACGAAATAGTTTTTACAGCATCGTATTCACTATTCAGCTCGGTCAGACGCATTAATTTGGGTAAAAATATTTGAACATACAATATTTAAAGCACCAAATTTTTCAAAAAATGTTTCAATAATTCACACAAGGGGGGACCCTTGTGTTCAGGTTCAAAAATTTGAAAATAATATTTCTTTAAGTTTTGAAACATTTGTACTAAAAATATTTTTAGTTAGTACTGACCTGAATTAGCCAATGTGGTTTTAAAATGTGGCGGTTTTTCGGGCATCCCGTCATATTTTTAACGGTCAATATTTTACCCACCATGATATTAACGACTAACATGTAATGTAGTTGATCAACTCTACTGACGAATAGAAGTATATTATAACTGCGTTAACCCACCTTAACCGAGTAACTGCACCATTGTGCCTTAACCAGACCTTAAAGTGGCCTTCAACGAAGTTCAACTTGTTAACCGACCTTTATGTTATGAGTTAGAAGGTTAAGCTGTACCAAGTTGCATTTTATACTTCAAGAAAGTTTATACTGGGATTGCGAATAATTTATTTTTGGATATATCTTACTATACTTAAAAATTAAAGCGAGACGATATTTATATCTGTTTCCATTTTACTGCCACCACGACATCATCTTTAACAAAACTTTTCGCATCAAATGTTTTTATTGCCCTTTGAACAGTATGAAGAAATACAAATTGGGTAAGGAAAAGGTCCCGAAATTAGGACCCCCAAATTGTATCAAAATCACTAAATAAATAAATATCATTTTAGCTTAATCAACTTGTTAATACAACTTTAGGGTAAGACGGGTTTCTGCTAGTAGGCATAATTTGCGGTCATAAAAGCATTTTACAGTATAAATAGGTTTTCCGGAAAATAATGCAGCGTAACATAAATAAATAAATGATAAATTTGATCGGCATTAAAGTTTGAAAATCACTGCACTTGCATAAATCCTGGATATAACAATGATGTTGTTCCTATATATAGGAAAAATATAATAAAGTAACTACCTACACACGAGTCAAGACTGTTCGTGATCATGGCCTAATGGATTTTAGAGTGTTTTACAAAACAAAGCAGTCCAAATAACAAAGAAATGAGTGAAACCATTCGTAAGCAAGCTCCTTGTGATAGTGTTATTGACCTCTTTTCTCATGGACTCGTCAAGAAGTTGGAATGACAGGCTAGAAACGCCTACAATTCCATGGTCACACAACTTTTAGAGCTACTTGAATCAATCTGTACCACACTGGAACAATTCTGTGCCGTTGGTAAGCCTACACCTTCTGTAATTATTGAGCACACTAATGGGATGCTGGATGTTGAGCAAGTTGTGGTAAATTCCTGACGAAATACACCTTGGGTGACCTGCATTCCAAACCCTTTGTTGTAAGAAACAGTGATGGTCTCTCCGGGTAGGAAAAATGGTACCGTCTCCTCAAGCGAGATCCTCTCATCTCTTACACTCATATTCTTGCATAGGATATTGTGTAGTGTTTTGAGCTTGTTGCCAGTCACAAGATCAAGGAGGGACATAGGTCTTCTGTTGAGGAAGTTGGTGGAATCTTTGATGGGAATATTGATTGGTTGAAAGACAGGATCATACTCGTAGAGTGACCAAGAATCTCTTCTCTCTGGGCACAGCAGAAGATAACTATTTTCATTTTTACAAGACTTTAAGCAGGCTGATCGGGATAAGCCGTACAGAGCCGAAAGACACATGTTTCCAAACTTTTCCTAAGAAGGGACAATTTACCATTGCTGAGCAATTTCGCAGGATGAACTAAAAAACAACTGATATCCCATGGACGAGGAAGGTTTGGTTTCTGTGTAATTCACCTCAGCACACATCTTCAAATCAGTCCTCAGAAAAACAACAGCATCCTCCTGGCCCATCTTAAACTGACCCTGCATGTTTATATAGGACCATTCAACATTACAGTCCTTCATTCCGAATATAATATGTGATGCATTGCTAGCTTCGTAAACCAGAGTGCTCCTATTTTCTCGGTACAAAAAACACTCGGATAGCCAATCTAGGTCGAAGGAGAACGTCTTACATTCGGCTTCATACTTGCAGTATTCCTGGCATTCGTTTCCGGGGGTTACAATAAATCGCCGAAAGGGCTCCGAATATATAACAGCTGTGTTTATAACAGCTGTGTTTATAACAGTTGTGTTTATAACAGCTGTGTTTATAACAGCTGTGTTTATAACAGCTGTGTTTATAACAGCTGTGTTTATAACAGCTGTGTTTATAACAGCTGTGTTTATAACAGCTGTGTTTATAACAGCTGTGTTTATAACAGCTGTGTTTATAACAGCTGTGTTTATAACAGCTGTGGTTCCCTCTTCAGCGACTACTACCAAAAGGATATTTATTGCTGTTGCAATCATTGTTAATGTTAGTTTCTTAAAAGGCATTTTTAATCCACAATCACAAAGTCAAGGAATCACAAAATACTGAACTGAAAAATGTGGACAGAAAAGGCATAATCGTTCAATTTCATGTTGCCACTTATGTGCGCTTTTTGACTTTCCACGTGGCAATGACATGGCATGTTCCATTATTTTATGATCTCAATATTTTCTGACATCGAGTTGTTTTTTGTTTCAAGATCTCAAAACAGGGGATATAATTAAAATGCTTCCTTGAAGATTAATGGACAAAAAACTGTTTTGGTCTCGTGACAGCCTAGTAAAAGTAAAACACGAGTTTTATGACATGGGTTAGGGTAAGGTTTGTGGTTAGGGTTGGGATTTAGGTAAGACTATTGATTCGTTCGACTGAAAACCCGTACAAACCCGAGTCAGGTGATAATTTTGGGCGATCGAAATAATATGAGCCCAATGAAACAGCAAGAAATCACACCTATCCCCTAAAAACTGCATCAGCTTACCATTTCCACGCAGCATGCTGCTGTATTTTAACTGAAAGAGTTGATAATTTATTCTCAGCTGGTATATCTTATGTTATAAACACATATTCTCCCAGTTACGGACTATCTTCCCCCTGGATGGTTGGAATACATCTACTTCTCCATTCACTTAATCATATTCCTCGCGTCATTGATAGGTTGATAAAACAGATTAATTAAAAGTTTCGATCTAAGTTTTATTAATTAGGGTTCATATTCGCTTGAGGAGAAAGAAAAATGGAGAGTTTTTAAACCTAATAGAAGATGTAGTACTTATATATATAACCTTATATATTAAAGTCACTATTGAGACTATATATAATAATATATATAACCTTATATATAACCTTATATATAACCTTATATATAACCTTATATAATATAACCTATATAACTTTATTGTGGATATGTAGCAAATAATTCAGGTTTATATAATGGCTATTTTCTTCAGGTAATTCCTTGGCAGTGCTGTCACTGATATCCTCAGCTTCACAGTTCTATGTGTGGTTCTTTAACCTCGTGTCAGCAGATCTGTTAAAGACGTGTATATGTATGCCTTACACCCTCTATCTAATATGGTAAGCTATGATCATAATATAATGTATAGAATATAATATATAGAACTCCAATTCAATGCTGATTTAAGTACCTGAAAATGAAATTTCTAAACAATGGCTATGGTGACCATAATATGGTCATAATGATTGCTTTCTAGCGTTGAGTTTTCCTCGGATTAACTTAAATGCACTTACCCATATTAGTGATATTGATAATTCAGTCAAACCATAATGAAAGCTGATTAATTAGATACCTATAACTCATACGTCTTTTGGCAACATGCCAATCTACATTATTTGCTACTATACTCTCTCCTACTATCTATATTATATTTTAAACTTGACGAAATTTCCCCGGCAACGGGGACATAGAAGAAAAAACACCGAAAATCGACCTCAAAATGACCCTCTGGTGATGCCAAACCCAGCTCGCAAATGGAGTTGAAACCTCGCCATTTTTAGCAGGGTTGTAGAAAAAGGATAGGAATAGGCTATAGCATTCTTAGAATTTTGATTTAGGCTTTAGATTTTTTATAATAAACGTCGAAAGTGAGGTTAAATAATCGTTAGAATAATGGCGTTATTTTAGCAAAGGTTTACTGCGCTGTTGCGTAGCAACGTTAAAATGCACGTGCGCGAGCAATAACATTTTAACTACGCGCGTTGTTATGCTGTATGCTACGTCATAACTTTGCGCAGTTAAACATCACGTGCCATTTTAATTGCCTGGCAATAATTCAATTGACTGTCATTCTCGATTGAAATATCTTCCAACGATTAACATATTTTACTCATCTGTTGTTGTTTTTCAATGCCCTTTCTTGGATCTAGACCTGCTAAACGGAGATCTCTGCACAATCGATTTGCTGTGAGAGTTAAAGATATGAAAAAGAACTGCCTAAGAACAGTTGTTATAGTAGACAACAGCTGGATTGTCCCTTATTCTCCGTTTCTCTCACGACAGATGAACTGTCACATTAACGTTGAAATTTGCAGTTCAGTCAACTCAATCAAATATATTCTAAAATATACGTATAAAGGAACTGACAGGGCTACATATAATCTACAAAGTCCGGGTTTGGATGAAATATCCGAATATGAGAATCATAGGTATGTTTACTGTTCTTCGTTGAGTAATTTTCATTTAATTGATCTGGATCTTACACCATTATATGTAAAATTGCTATGATCTTTATAATTTCTAATTTCTAATTTTTAGGTATTTGGGGGCTAAATCTAATGAAGCCACTATGGTCATACTTGGTATGGAACGAAACGGTCACCGGCCAACAGTCGTTACATTAGACATACACCTCGAGGGGGAACACCAATTCATATTCAATCCAGAGACTACTACATCCCAGTCCATGGAGAACAGTAACCCACCCCCTTCGAAACTTGTGGCATTCTTTAATCTCTGCTCAGAGGACTTATTTGCTTCTACTTTAAAATATCACGAATTCCCCGAGTTTTACACCTGGGGAAAAGGAGAGTGGAAGCGTCGTCAGATTGGTGGAAGGAAGATGTATCAGACCGACGATTCTGTAGTAGTCCACTCAAATACTATTGGTAGACTCTACTCGATGTCACCAAAAATTGGTGATCTTTACTACCTCAGACTGTTGTTGGTTCATCAGCCAGGCCCAACGTCATTCGCTCACCTCAAGACAGTTGACGGTGAGCTACTGTCAACCTTCAAAGAGGCTTGCAGAAGACACGGCTTATTGGACAACGATGACCACATTTTTGATGCGATGAACGAGATTAGTGCTACATTGTCTGCTCTAAAACTTAGACAATTTTTTGTTACGGTCATCTGCGCATGCGAACCGTCTGAGTTCTGACCCCCTATCTCTGTGGGAAACATTCGCGGATAATCTCTGCGAGGATTTATAGTGTCCTTTAATAAAATTTTCGACTACAGCGGATTTCAACGCGCGGTGTTATGCTGTATGCTACGTCAGAATTTCACAACTAGCTCACATTTACCCTCATGACGCTATATACCTATATATATTTATAACTTTGGTTGTGATTGAAATTTTTTGATGCGGTAAAAAGTATCGTTTTGGGGCTATATGATGAAGAGAAATTAAAACATAACTGATGCTTAAAATTTCCTCGAACAAAGCTTTCGACTAGCGGCGGGTTTCTAGTACTATATACTGGCAACTTGGTCGTTTAGCTCCGGACAGTCTATGCAACGTCTATGCAACGTCCATGCAACAACAAAAGAACCGTCTATGCAACGTCTATGCAACGTCCCTGCACAATGAACACTCTATGCACACTCCCTGCACGGTCAGTCTATGCAACGTCTATGCAACGTCTATGCAACGTCTATGCAACGTCCCTGCACAGTACCATATGAACACCGGCTACTAGCCGGCTACTAGCCGGCTAGTAGCCACTTTTATAATAACAGCTCCTCAACTTCACATTACCAACCGGCTACTAACCGGCACTTGAAAAGTGGTCACTAGCCGGCTACTAACCGGCTACTAGCCGGCTAGTGACCACAAAGTGGCTACTAACCGGCTACTAAGCGGTCACTAGCCGGCTATTAGCCGAGCTCTAAAGCAGACCTACTAGTAGCCGGTTCCAAACCGGCTACTAGCCGGCACTTAGAAAGCGGTCACTAGTCGGCTACTTACTAACCGGCTACTAACCGGCTAGTAACCACCAAGTGGCTACTAACCGGCTACTAACCGGTCTGCTTTAGAGCCGGCTAGTGACCGGTTAGTAGCCGGTTAGTAGCCACTTGGTGGTTACTAGCCGGTTAGTAGCCGGCTAGTGACCGCTTTTCAAGTGCCGGCTAGTAGCCGGTTTAGAACCGGCTACTAATAGGTCTGCTTTAGAGCTCGGCTAATAGCCGGCTAGTGACCGCTTAGTAGCCGGTTAGTAGCCACTTTGTGATCACTAGCCGGCTAGTAGCCGGTTAGTAGCCGGCTAGTGACCACTTTTCAAGTGCCGGTTAGTAGCCGGTTGTTAATGTGAAGTTGAGGAGCTGTTATTACAAAAGTGGCTACTAGCCGGCTAGTAGCCGGCTAGTAGCCGGTGTTCATATGGTACTGTGCAGGGACGTTGCATAGACGTTGCATAGACGTTGCATAGACTGACCGTGCAGGGAGTGTGCATAGAGTGTTCATTGTGCAGGGACGTTGCATAGACGTTGCATAGACGGTTCTTTTGTTGTTGCACGGACGTTGCATAGACGTTGCATAGACTGTCCGGAGCTAAACGACCAACTTCCCTATATACTATACTCTCTATCTTTAAAATTTTTCTACAGGAATTATAAACTCTACAGAAAGATCGCTCACCAATCTCTCATCGGGGATCCTCCGTTTTGTAGAGAAGAAGGGTGAGTCAAAAAGTGTTAAAATTGTAAATAACTAGTTTTATATTATGTACGACAACAATTGAAAATCATGAGAAGATTTTCAAAAAGCAAAATTTCTGATCACTATTGACTTGACTAACAAAAGATGACGTTCCACTTATTAAAAGTATAACATCGTTTTTATGGAGCTCCGTTTTTATTAGGTCTATTCCGAGAAAATCAGTAACGTTCCTTCAAACGATGTTTTTAAACTAAAATGCTAAACAGCTAATTAAAATATCCAATCAGGGCAATCTTCATGGTATGCATGTTGGTTTCACTGCTGAGTAACATGTCCATTGCCGTGGACAGAGTCATTGCTATAACTGCACCAATGTTCTACGCAAACCTTCAAAAGAGAATCAAGCCCCAAATTCTTTTCCTTGCCACCTGGATCTTCAGCATCACGCTGGCTATAGCTCCTGCTTTACACGTTAACACGTAAATACATATTTTAAAATCATTATTTAATTCAATGGCGAGGATATCATTTTAAATTCTAGACGACATTGTTTATAATCCTTGTATATTTATACATAGATTTTACAAATTTTAATAATCATTTTAACTGTTTAGGTACGTGTACAAGCCATTTGTCCCGAACTGCTCCCTTGAGCTACATAATCATTTGCACAAGTACATGGACGTCTACTGGACTAAAATAGTGGTGGGAATACTGTACTCCCTGCTATTCGGACTCCCTATTGCTGTGGTGTGCACCAGGTAAGTACTTAGTTTAGCGATTATATCTTTAGTTGGAAAAGGAAAAAACCGCTAAAATCACTTATTCTCACTGCAAATCATTGTCACATTAAGAAGATTAAATATTTATGTTTGTGTTCTTCAAAATGTGACATTGATTATCCTCAGTTGTGCTGTCGTAACGTACAAGCTCTACAAGAAAACCATTATACCGTCAGAAGATGGGATAACAAAGAAAAATTTAGGTTAGTGCCAGATAGATATTTGATATTAGTTGTAAAACTTCATAAATCAAAAACTTTAGACTCATTCCAATAACCTGGTAAGGGTAACTTTTAACTCACTGATTTTAACCCTCGATGTCTCTATCTAATCAATTTTATTAAATATAATCAAGAATTCCCTGTAAAATATAACCCCTTGACAGGGACGACAGCAATAACGAGCGTAATTTATAAGTATCTTCGAGTTGTAATGTGTTCTTAATTTGGGAAACAAGCAAAAAGGTTTCTGGTCTTGAAACCATTATCAACTCTCACCACTTTTTCTTAGACTTTTTAATTTTTCCGTTGATTTACATTCTTAAACCCTTGAGGTTTTGAAATTGCGTCATCACAGATTCACATTGTCTAATATTATCCGACTCTTACCAAACACCAGAGAAGAAAAGTAGAGTGATGTCAAACCGAGGAAGCATGCAGAGCAATGGGTCAGACGGAGAGAGCAGGCTTACAAGACTAAGTTTGGACCAGACCGCTGAACAGAGCCAGATTTCAACTATTCGTTCTTCTAGCCGTACTTCCAGTCCCGCACTAGGCAATGATAGCGGTATAAACTGTACATTTCAGATGCTATAAACGCTGTGTTCGAAATGATAAAAGAAGGACGATGTTTTATCTTGATCTTGCATGGCTGATGATTTATGGAAGTTCGACAATTTACATGATTTATGCTGAACTTAAACATTTATAATGCGAATATGTGATGATCAGAGTAGCTTATCAAATGAAATGTTAATCTTGATCTCTCGTTGTATTGAGTGATAAACGTTTAAAATTTTAAATAATTAAATCATGATTTTAAGTGGTGAGAATGTGATCGGTTTTAAAATAATGTCACCAAATAGATATCGGCAACCTAGCAGTTTAGAAGTGTACATCAGACGATTCCGATGTTGAGGAATGACAATCCACTTATAACAAGGAGACTCCTTGAAGTTTACCATGGAACTGATTTCAAACTCCTAAAAGAAAAGATTCTCCTATACTTATAGAATATCGATAACAGCGCAAAATACAGACAGCGAGGAAACTGAAAAGGACATGATGATCTACTTTATTTGTGATGATAATAAATCAAGAGGCTTGCATATAATGAACATATTGACACGGGTGCAGAGTCGAGTCTGTACGGAACCTAGTAGTTTCAGATCCTTGTTTAACTTGCCGTACAGCAAGGTCATCCACTACTTTAGCCCGGCGAGGCACATAACTCCCTCTACAACTCCATATCAAATGTTTCATATATACTAGCCAAGTTCACAAGATATATCCTTGTGTTTGAGAAGAGCTCGTTAGAACTGCTTCCTTTCCCTTCAGTATCCCACAGTCTCTCGAGTTTCGTAACTGCCAGAGAACTCTCTTAAACAATTACTAGACTCGGTGATTATAAATCAAGAGGCTTGCATATAATGAACATATTGACACGGGTGCAGAGTTGAGTCTGTACGGAACCTAGTAGTTTCAGATCCTTGTTTAACTTGCCGTACAGCAAGGTCATCCACTACTTTAGCCCGGCGAGGCACATAACTCATATTTTGGTAGAACTGGAGGTGTAATATGAAACCGAGACACATAAAAATGAAGGCGGAGAGGGTGAGATGGTGGAAGTAAAGAACATCATAATCATACGTCATGATTCCTGCAGTGTCATTGTAAAACATAACATGCCTCTAGTCTCATCCTGTTTTATTTTCGATCCTCAGACTCTCGAGAGTTAGTGAAAAAATCACCATGTTATCTTTCAATTTGTAATTTGATACTATTAAAATGATAAACATTTGTTTTCAGATAAGTCTCTGACCAGGACAGATGTGATTGTATCTGAGGAGGACAATATGGAAAGCAAAGCAGAGAAAAGTTTCATTGCTTGTGACAAAATGGAAATGCTTCACCGACCGGAGCCCCGCCAAATGAAGAAACAGGGCTCTCTCCTACGGCGACAAAAGCTCCAGGTTTATGTTATACTTATAGTATATATAGTTATACTACTACTACTACTACTTATAAGAATTAAAGCAAAGAATGAATTAATATTGGTACGTCCATGATAACACTTTCATCACTATAGAAGCCCCATTTTGTATTAACATTTAACACAGTGTATATTCTTCAGAAGAGAGCAGGGTTAACTATGACCCTAGTTGCAGCAACGTTTTTCCTTTGTCACGTGTGTCTTTTCACTTATTGGGCATTCTATGACAGTGGGATCTACAATGGCTGTTCAGCCTTATCCAAACGAAATGAGGATTGGAGGTAATTTTTCCCATCTGAATCCCTCATTATTCATTTCAATTTGTTTTACCCATGCAAACTTATTTAAATTCAAATGAAATACACTTGATAAGGTGTTGGTAACAAAATGTTTTCAGTTACGGATCGTGCGTAGTGTTCCACACAGCCATCATCACCCTGGTCTACCTTAATGCCCCCCTCAACGTTATCATATACTACTACCGGTGCTCTTACCTCCGACAGAGAATGCAGGACTTTTTGGGGGTTTTGGCAAATGTGCTTTGTTTTCCATGCTTATGGGGGAGGAAATTTGCACGAAAATTGTTTTGAACATTTTCACATTTTAATTTATTGACGCTTGCTGAATTTTTGTGATATTGAATTTCATGAGTTAATAAAAGGATCGGGGTGTTTGTTGGGGCTCGAAAGGAGAATAACCATCATTTTATTTGATAAGTACACAGATAAGCTCAATACTTTAACGAAGTTAGGAAGTTGGTTAGTTGCCAATTTTATTAACGTCAGAGACACGATTGCCGTGATTCAAATTAAATGTGATCATATGAAGTAGCTACGACAAATAAATATTTGAATTGTATTTGTAAATAGCAATATGTATCATTTAACAATTAATCAATGAAGATCTTGATGGATTAGGTAAAGTATAATAATTATTTTTATAGTATGCACGAGATTGAGAGGGTATCCCAGAAAGTTTCACATTTACCGCCGGTGCAATACAATTTGTATATCGTGCTTCAGACTAACGCTCGCTTACTTCTGGCATAACATCACAATAAATTACCCAGAATTCCTATTATAGTATTATATTTATATGGGCACGTGTGCATTTATATCATAAAATGTTACATGTACTTGTTAGATAATGAAATTTCGTTGTAATTTGGCTGAATGTTTCGATTCAAAACTATCACATATCAAATGTTAAACTAAAATAATCATTTAGAATGTTTCCAAATGAAAATCTGGTATTTGAGTTATTAGTATTATGATTGGATGATACAATTTCTAGTGATAATCATAAATCTGTACACTGTAAAATGTAAGGCTTTGCGTACCCTCAGGCCTCAACACGTTCGAGCTGCGTTTCCAATAAATGCGCAATGTAACCAATAGCTTTGCCAAATCAGTGTAGTCTTGCCAGTTAGATCTCTGGGTGGGTATACTGGTCTAGAAACCGTAAATAAGGGGACATTCGTCAACTGTACTCACTGCCCTACGTGTGTCTATTATAAACTGTAGATTTACATTATACATACTATCGAAATATGATTATTTGGGTATTCATTTTTTAGCTGTTATTGATAACCTCCTGAAATCGTTTCACTGTTTTGTTGTGGGTTGGTAATCAAAACTGCATTTCATTCTAAAAATGAATTGTTCAAAAAAATTAAACCAAAGTTACTCATGGTTTAAAGCAGTGCACTGCTTTATGACCAGACACAGGAAATTGTTATTGATTCGTAGATTGTTAGATTTTATTTCTGTTGAATTGGGACATCTTTTTTAAAATAGTTTTTAGCTATATCAGTATAAAATGATTTTTAAACGGTACCTACGCTTTTTAAAATGTTTAATGGTGAAAGACAGGACAAAATAAAGTACCAAACTATGAGAAATTCGAAAAATAAAAATATCGAGTATCTTCAATTAAATTTCAGTTCTTGAAACATTTCTTTGGTACGTAAAGCTTCTTGTGAAAAAATACCACATTTTATTTGCTTCTTTTTCATGCATACAGCTGCTCTAATAAAAGCGGTTTGAGACAGGGGCTGTCACTTTCTTATTTCTTCTCAGACTACCTCAGATTAGTTTCTGCTAACTTCCTTGATCGCTCAGCTTGGATAAAGGACTGTTAAGGGACACGACGAAGTTTTACCGTCGATAATTTAGGTCCTTTTATGTTTTAGTGTCGCCGGAAGTGCCCATTATAGAGATGTTCAGGTCATCTTGAGGGTTTATAAGTATGTTGTGTTTGCTGCAAGCTAACAATAAAACGTTCGGAGCCTTAGCCAAATGATGTATCGGACAGTTTACGAAAAATCTTTCTAGCGCTAAAAATATGCTAAAAAGTCAATAGTATTTTTTACAGTTCACTTCACCGGAACTTTGGATTCTTGGAGCTTGGGCTGGGTGTGCATTTGTTGTATGGATCTATCAAGGGAGTCTTGGACGTGCCAGCATATGATGAACATGGTGATTGCAGCTGACAGCTCAATTCCAGCCCACATGAAGTACAAATATAACTGAAATAAGATCATTATTTGAAAAATATTTAAGTAGATAAGATTTGGTTTCTTTAGTAAATTGCACCCTCTATACTTCTATAGTTGTTGATAATATCATGCCAGTAATAACACAATAAGAACACATGGGTTACAACAAATAGCCACAGTACGTTAAAGCAAACCACTTACATCACGATCTGTGACATTAGTGAAGATTATTGTGATGACGTTGCCAAATGCGTGGGTCAGGAGGAAGAAGGAACTACACACTGATTTTGTGGAAGATGGTGCCTGAGGTAAAAAGAAATTAGACTTCTGTAAAGCTTGTTACAGAAAACAAAACGAAATATTGAATAAAATAGTAGATGTCCCATACTGGACTTTCACAAAGTTGAAAAACTTTCGAAACTCATTCACGTATTTAATACGAGAAAGATGCGGTGTATTTTATGCGTCGGCCAAGTAATGCAGTTATTTTATTACTACAGCTAGTTTCTGTCAATATTTAAACCTAACGCTACACAGTTTCAAACTTAAAACTTACGTAAGCATAAGCAAACTCTAGCCCAGTGACGACTGTAAGTACTTCACCACAGCCGATAAGGAATATCTGAGGAAGTGTCGCCAGAATGTGAAGCTGATGTTCCGGATCTAAGGTGTCAAGTGTTCGTTTGTCATCAACGTTATCTTCATTCCAAGTAGCTACCCGCGCCTGGACAATAAAAACAATAAAAAATGTATGTGTTTTGTTTGGGAGTCATTATTTGCGTCTCTGGTACCTTACACTATTTTCTTACGGCTACGCCGATAAACAATTTGATGGTGAGGGATTTCAGTTTATACCTCCATAGATAACTCCACAAATCCACAGACAACGAAAGCCAGTGCAACAAAAACCATTCCAGCCACCATTCTAGATGTAGCTCTGAAAACGGTTCATTAATAAAAAGAAACTTATATACCGAAAAACTTCCTTCTCTGGGAAATAAGTTAAATTAAACTTGTCTTAATAATATCGGTAAAGGTAACCTGCGAATTGAAAGTTACTCCAACTCACCTGACTTTGAGTCCATTTTTTCTCAAAAGTGGATAAACAACTCCCTCAAAAAACGGAAGAAGGCTCAGAACGAGAAGGGGATTAAAGACCTGCATCTGGTCCGGCTTGATCACTACGTTACCCTGAGTATTATTGATCATTAGACTGACCTTTTAGACAACGTTATTTGTACGGACTAAAACTGGTTTGGGGATAAAATCTTAGATGAAGAATTTGAAGACTCACAAGTTTCCCATTCATTCGTTTGGCTTGAATGATCCAACGGCTGCCTTGTTGTGAATACAAGGCCCAAAAGAATGGTATAGGTGATAGTACAAACAGCACTCTGAGTAGTTGTCTTGTGTCTTGAACCTTTTTTATCTGCAAGAGTAAATAATCGTTGCTGAAAAAACGTTAATTAAAATCAGCTTAATAAATTCTGGAATAATTGTAAGTATCTCAAGATAATTCTCTTCCTACAAACCCCGAAATTATCTTCCAGCATTTTTCTTCTCGTCAGCATAGCCTGAAACCACGACAATCAATTAAAAATCTTGATTCTGATGAACTAAATTAAAAGAGTTTAAACAAAATTTAGCTTCTCCGGTGAATACAAAACATGATGCTGTTGAAATTAATAAAGAATTCACCCAGATGACTTTGGAGTAATCAGTGATAGGGTTACCAAGAGGTGGTATCTTCACATACCATTTACTGGCCAACACAAACGAAATTACTGCCAATATCATGAAAACAGCAGGAACACCAAATGCTAATGGAAAGCAAGTGGTTTCATCCATACATTTTGAGCCTGAAATTGTAAGTAAAAGCCAGAAATTGAAATGAATTGTTTTGAACCTTTTACTAAATAAAATAATAAATTCAGGTATTCGTCATTTAATTGTATCAATTTCAATCATTGCAGGTTTAATGAATTTATTCGGAAAATGTATTGATTGATTTTTTGAACGAAATCGTCAAAACTTCACTTACTCCGCAGTTCAGGAGTAATAAACATTGCCAGTACTCCGCCACAATTGATCGAGAAATAAAACATCGAAAAGTAACTCTGAAGTTTGGTGCCCTGAAAAACGAATTATTATAATACTCATTATAATGCAAGCTGTGAAGTCACTGTGTATATGTGTGTGTATGTATCCGCACTGAAATGGGGGGGGGGGGGGGTACGAAATGAAGGGTTCTTTCAAATTTTTGGAGGGCGTGAAATGGAGCGTTCAACACCCAGCTGAGAAGGGGTAGTTTGAATTTTATTGTCTCAAAACGGACTTTGAATTTTAAAGCAGGACTAATAGTCTGTAGGACAGGCATACCGCTAGTTATTATAATTCATAAAGAATCTTACTTTTCTTAAGATATGCAATAGTAAAATAAATTTATAGAAATACATTTATCAAATTGTACCTCAGATTTTAAGAACTGGTCTCCTCCAAGACTAGAAACACAAGGTTTTATCCCTCCTGTACCCAGGGCAATGAGGTGCAGGCCCAATATAGGGCCCCACAGCTGGGGCTGGTAGTTTGCACTTCCATCCTGTGAGGTTGTTATATCCTCTGGAAACCATCTACCAACAGAAGTTACTGCCATGACAACGTTCCCAACAACATAAACCATTGACAAGATGAGAATAGTCCTGTGAAATATCATTTACATTAAATATTAATATACTTGTACAGTATAACACACGTGTTCCAGTTGTCATTAAAACTAATGATGAGGAATGACCCAGGTTAACTTGAAGCTAATGAATATCACTATCATGTGATACCTGAGTCGTGAGCTTGACAAGGTAGTTAAACTTATTACCGGTATTTTCCAATAAAAGCATCCGCGACCAGTGCTCCTAGGAGAGGTGTGAAATAGCTTATGGCTACGAACTCATGGTACCAAACGGTTGCTTGACGGTTGGAATACAGCAGCTTCTCCGTCATGTAGATGGTTAGAATAGCTGAAATTTTTCTGCAGAACATATTCATTATATAAGGGAGGGGGTTCAGGCCTCAGGGTTGGGCTGCTTTTTAAATAATGGGGGCGCAATAATAGCCAAGGGTATCAAACAAAATATCATAGATTTAAAGATAAACTTGCCATTTTAGAAAGAAATTATTTAACAATCTTAAATTAGTTTTATATTGATCTCACTTTGCATGCCATAGAAAGAGAATCGTTCACAAAACTCATTGAATATGATGAATGGTATAGTTATAGGATACCCGCATATCTGAAATTAGTAATTGTAATACAAATGAGATAGCAATCGCAATGGTAAAACTATGTATGATAGATAACGTGTATAATAACTGTTGCATAAGTATAACTTGGTCCTTAATTGAACGAGGGTCATGGAACAAAAAATCAGCACAGATTATAGTTAATAGTATGTATTTATTATTTATTGAAAATTGTATTATCATCTGAAGATCTGACTAAAACACAACCAACTGAAATTTAACATACTCGCTTGATGGGCTGCTTTTCAAGTACATAAAAATCACGTGACTTTTCCAATTCTGATGGCTCCGACGCTGAGGCAATAATATACATCACGTAACTGGGAAACCAGATTGCTATAACATATAAACTAAGTCAGGCCGGCAAATAGGTACAATATGCCAGCCGGCTATTAACCGGCTAATACGTAGTTGCCCTAAGGGCAGTATGTTATGGTATGTAGAGTAAAACTAGACACTGTGCTTAGTGTTTTCATGACTTAGGGTGCTAGGCTGGCACAATACTGATAAATTTCAATATTTGGAAACTTAGTTTTATTATCTGAAATTATTTACAGCTATATGATTGTAAACAATGTGTGGAAACAATATGAAATATAACTATAACTTATAAGCAACATAGATCGTTACATTTCCCAGAGGAGACTGTGCCATAGTTTTTATTATCTGATTCTGATACTAGAAGTGCGTCATCTTGCGTCTCCATGATAATATTACTCTATTAATATTATAGACCATTCAAGCCACTGTAATGAAATGATATCAACAAACATAACAATCTATAGTATGATTGCATTCATGCCAATTATATGTACTAAACGAATTAAACGGATTTGTACTATATAGACATAGTAGGAGTTCCTTAATAAAACTTGATTTTATGATAATATATTATTGTTAAAACAGGTTCAGACGTAACGTAACTTTTAAGTAGAACAGTTAAAGAAGTAAATATAATTACGTGTTTCAATAATTAAGTGAAGAAAGAATATTACAGTTTTTGGGATGAAAGATTTAGCGTAAAAATCCGCGATTAGAAACACATAGAACCATGTACAAAATATGATAAACTATCGAATCAAAAGTCAGAGTATTGAAATCAGGTGAACTACATGACACAACCAGTATTTAACATCCTACTAAATGAATTATCAAAATAGGAAGTTGTATAGCAGCTTTGTGAATAAATTCCCGGAATATGGAATAATGGATTCTTAGAATTTTGATACGAAATAAAATAGGGTCGGGGAGGGATTCACATGTAATATGTACTACAAAACTGATTGGTGAGATTCTGAGAAGTTCGGACTAATATTGTGTTGCAGCGCGCTGCGCTATCAACAATCAAAATTGATCTAGGCCGTACTTCGATGGCTGAATCCAGCAAGTTAAGGAATTATTACATACTCATAGTCATACGCTGATAGATACTCGTATCAAATTGGATGTGATTTCGGTGGAGATATAATGCCCGCCTATTAGTATTATATTATAAACAATAAATGATAAATATAATGGTATGCGCACATTATTATAAAATTAAAACCAAAATACATTTTAAATTTTACATCGCACCAATTTCTGGATTTGGAAGTAAAATCAAATATTTTAAATTTATGAAGAAGAAAAAAAAATCAAAACAAATTTCCAAAAGATTTACAGTTTTGTAATTGTGTCAAACTTGACACACGCTGTAACCCCCGGCGTGCACGAGAGGTATACAACGTGTAGCAATGTCAAACTACAAACTAAAAAGACGAATACGATTTTTAAGCTCATCAAAAATATCAACACCTTAGCAAATCCAAAATCAAAAATCTGAATCACCCCATGATATATGAGGTTTGGGTAAAAATGTATGAAATGCTTTTCGAGGAGTTATGGGCAAACACATGTACTTTTAATTTTAGTTTTACCTGGGGACCCCAGGCTATAAGTATAATGTTCATAAACATAACGCCAAATAATTTAATAAAGATTCCGCGGCGGAATGACAGGCTGAGCGCCGCCCAGTAAATGTGTTTTGCCTTTGGTTACGTGACAGGCTATAGTAAAACCCAAATTCGATTGTTTAGTGCTCGGGTTCAGGGTTACTGTTAGTGTTAGGGTTCCGCGCGGTTAGAGTTGATGTGTGATGTGATTAAGGTTATGGTTAGCTTTGGTTACTGTTAGGGTAAACCGTAAGGGTTGGGGTTAGGGTTCATGTAAAACCGTTTTACTCGGCTGCAAGTGCAACACCGTAAAAACGCGAGTCACGTGATAATTTTTGGGTGAGCGGAATTATATGAACTCCTTCTGGGTCGCAAAGCGGCCTGGCTCCGAAAAAGTAGTCGAGGTTGGAACGTGGGACAGTTCACAGTTGCAATGTGGACTGACAGTGACAAAGACTTAACTGCAAAAAGTCCAATTCGGGATTCTAGTGTATAATAACCTATAATTATATCAGTACTTACATTAAAAATGTAAAATTAGAAAAAAATGTAAAAGAAGGATCAGAAAAAATGTTTTGTCAAACGTTGATAATTTATCGATGAATAACCGGTTAATAACAAAGTTGTAGTATAATTAGAAATGAAAGGAGTGGATGGAATGTTAAACAACATTACCGGGAAAAGTACAGTATATTACATTCACTTAACTTTAAGCATTAAGTGTTAAGACAGAAAAAATAGTTCCATGGACTCAGTTGGAATTGAGGGCCTGCGTTAAAACAAAGAATACTAACTTTGCGAGATATTGTTTATATACACGGAGTCAAACTGAATCTGAATCAGTTAATCAATTCATCTTGGCGTTGCTTGTCATACGTTGTATGACCCGCCGCGCACGAAGTGCGCGGCTCCCCCTGTATCGTCGAAGCGACAGTGGGGGTCACCACGTGATACAAGGCGTTGCGGACACTGGCGAAACAGTGTAATTTTACCGAAGTATCTCTATCAGCTGCTGTTCATGGGGAAGAGAGCATTAGAACAGCTCTTATCAGTGGGCTAAGGGACAAGCAAATTCGGCAGCGCCTGATGGAGGACACTAAAAGTTTAGATGATACCATCACTCTGGCAATCAATCTCAAACAATGAAAAGTATAATGGTCCTAATCTAAATGGTATTGTTAAGGCTTTAAGGGAAACGATTCTGGACAGGATTCAAAGGATCATGCGGTTGTAGCTGCCACTCACGGCAATTCAGTAAGTTCTAATTTGACCAAAACCCATAATCATGGGTAGAGTGGAGCGCTGCCAGTGTCTCTCTTTCCCAAACAAAATGCAATGATATCAATTTGAATGACCGTTATCAAATGCAAAATGATACCGACAATGAAATCGGTCGCTCGCTTTTCCCACTCATTCATGGCTTACGAATTGTAATAAGTTTCGATTTATAACATGTAATCTATTTCAATTGTAAATGAATGGGAAAAGCGAGCGACCGATTAAATTCTCGGTATCATTTTGCATTTGATAACGGTCATTCAAATTGATATCATTGCCTTTTGTTTGGGAAAGAGAGACACTGGCAGCGCTCCACTCTACCCATGATTATGGGTTTTGGTCAAATATCATCTCTTTTTGATTATAATGTCAGGGTACTTTACAAAGCCGAAATGTAAACTCATAACTTCATTAATATTAATAAGGAGGTGATTTCAACAATTTCGAAATTTTTCCTTTAAAAACATTTCCTTGTGTTTAGGTAAGCATATCGGTCGATCACTGACTGAGTATGCCACTTTATACTCATTCAAGTTGGCATTAAATTCATATATAATGAAATTGAACTGTCGTGGCAAAGCAGATTTTGTTCAAAATCACGAATGAGCAAAATTTGAACCTTTCGCACGTGCAAACCTTGAGCGGAAGTTGCGTGCGCATCCAATATTGAATCACCGTAAATTTTTGCATCATGGTGTTTTATATATAGTTTGATAAGCATGGAAAGTTTCAAAGTATTTCAAGAAGAACTGTTATCACAACGGCACTCCAAAGTTGACGAAAATTGGTGAAAACAGTGATTTTCAGTGATTTTAGCAATTTTCTATCAATTTGGGCGTGGCCCCACGTGTGCAACTTTTCGATTTTCAACTTTAAAACTAGCCTATGACACAATTTAGACCTTTAGGAAGCAAAACTGAGCTCCACAACCCAAGGGATGGTGTAACACCAGAGAATACTAGAACGTAAAATTAGCGTTTTTATAAAATTATTCTTTAAAAAAGCACTAACTTCAATAGCGAATATCTTTATGAAGGAGCAAGCTAGAAAAACTTTCCGGTAGATTTTCAGAATGCTTGAACAATTATCTAAGGTGAAAATGTCCTCAGATTTTGAATAAAATTACTTCTTAATAGCGTAAAATCGATTTTAAAAGTGATTACTTTGTCAAAAATCAAGTTTTAAAAATGGTTAACTTGATGACGTCATCAAGTGGTGATGACGACGTTAAATTACTTTTAAATGTAATTTAAACTAAAGTCTAAATAATTATCTTCAAGACCTGAGGTCCGAAATGGCTGTATCTTTAAAGCTTTTGAATCTACGGACACCTAAATATAGCCTATAATTGACTGGCAAAGCGTCTATCCCTGAATATATGTATATATATATATATTTGACCAAAACCCATAATCATGGGTAGAGTGAACCGCTGCCAGTGTCTCCCTTTTCCAAACAAAAGAAAATGATATTAATTTGAGGAACCGTCCGCAAATGCAAATTGATACCGAGAATGAAATCGGTCGCTCGCTTTTCCCATTCAATAAGCTTTATTACAATACGTAAGCCGTGAATGAATGGGAAAAGCGAGCGACCGATTTCATTCTCGGTATCAATTTGCATTTGCGGACGGTTCCTCAAATTAATATCATTTTCTTTTGTTTGGAAAAGGGAGACACTGGCAGCGGTTCACTCTACCCATGATTATGGGTTTTGGTCAAATATCATCTCTTTTTGATTATAATGTCAGGATAATTTACACAGTCGAAACTTAATAAGGAGGTAATTTCAACGATTTCGAAATTTTACCTTTGAAAACGTTTCCTTGTGTTTAGGTAGGCATATCTGTCAATAACAGACTGAATATAGCACTTTTTACTCATTCAAGGTGGCATTAAATTCATATATAATGCCATTTTAATATCGTGGGAAAGCAGAATATATTCGAAATCACGAATGAGCAAAATTCTCACCTTTCGCACGTGCAAACTTTGAGCGAACGTTGCGCGCGCATAAAATATTGAATCACCATAAATTTTTGCATAGTGTTATTTAATATATAGTTTGATAAGCATGAAAAGTTTCAGAAGATTTCAAAAAGAACTTGGATCACAACGGGACTCCAAAGTTGGTAAAAATCGTGAAAATAACAATTTTTAGTGATTTTAGCTATTTTAAATGAATTTGGGCGTGTCCCCACGTGTGCAACTTTTCGATTTTCAACTTTAAAACTAGCCTATAACACAATTTAGACCTTTAGGAAGCAAAATTGAGCTCCACAACCCAAGGGATGGCCCAACACCAGAGAATACTAGAACGTAAAATTAGCGTTTTTATAAAATTATTCTTTAAAAAAGATCTAACTTCAATAGCGAATATCTTTATGAAGGAGCAAGCTAGAAAAACTTTCCGGTAGATTTTCAGAATGCTTGAACAATTATCTAAGGTGAAAATGTCCTCAGATTTTGAATAAAATTACTTCTTAATAGCGTAAAATCGATTTTAAAAGTGATTACTTTGTCAAAAATCAAGTTTTAAAAATGGTTAACTTGATGACGTCATCAAGTGGTGATGACGACGTTAAATTACTTTTAAATGTAATTTAAACTAAAGTCTAAATAATTATCTTCAAGACCTGAGGTCCGAAATGGCTGTATCTTTAAAGCTTTTGAATCTACGGACACCTAAATATAGCCTATAATTGACTGGCAAAGCGTCTATCCCTGAATATATGTATATATATATATATTTGACCAAAACCCATAATCATGGGTAGAGTGAACCGCTGCCAGTGTCTCCCTTTTCCAAACAAAAGAAAATGATATTAATTTGAGGAACCGTCCGCAAATGCAAATTGATACCGAGAATGAAATCGGTCGCTCGCTTTTCCCATTCAATAAGCTTTATTACAATACGTAAGCCGTGAATGAATGGGAAAAGCGAGCGACCGATTTCATTCTCGGTATCAATTTGCATTTGCGGACGGTTCCTCAAATTAATATCATTTTCTTTTGTTTGGAAAAGGGAGACACTGGCAGCGGTTCACTCTACCCATGATTATGGGTTTTGGTCAAATATCATCTCTTTTTGATTATAATGTCAGGATAATTTACACAGTCGAAACTTAATAAGGAGGTAATTTCAACGATTTCGAAATTTTACCTTTGAAAACGTTTCCTTGTGTTTAGGTAGGCATATCTGTCAATAACAGACTGAATATAGCACTTTTTACTCATTCAAGGTGGCATTAAATTCATATATAATGCCATTTTAATATCGTGGGAAAGCAGAATATATTCGAAATCACGAATGAGCAAAATTCTCACCTTTCGCACGTGCAAACTTTGAGCGGACGTTGCGCGCGCATAAAATATTGAATCACCATAAATTTTTGCATAGTGTTATTTAATATATAGTTTGATAAGCATGAAAAGTTTCAGAAGATTTCAAAAAGAACTTGGATCACAACGGGACTCCAAAGTTGGTAAAAATCGTGAAAATAACAATTTTTAGTGATTTTAGCTATTTTAAATGAATTTGGGCGTGTCCCCACGTGTGCAACTTTTCGATTTTCAACTTTAAAACTAGCCTATAACACAATTTAGACCTTTAGGAAGCAAAATTGAGCTCCACAACCCAAGGGATGGCCCAACACCAGAGAATACTAATTCACAACTTTTGTGTTTTTATAAAATTATTCTTCAAAAAAGCACAAACTTCAATAGCGAATATCTTTATGAAGGAGCAAGGTAGGAAAATTTTCCGGTAGATTTTCAGAATGCTTGAACAATTATCTAAGGTGAAAATGTCCGCAGATTTTGAATAAAATTACTCCTTAATGCTTTAAAATCGATTTGAAAAGTTGTTATTTTGTCAAAAATCAAGTTTTAAAAACACTTAAATTGATGACGTCATCAAGTGATGATGATGACGATAAATTATTTTTCGATATAATGTAAACTAAAGTATAAACAATTATCTTTAAAACCTGTGGTTCGAAATGACTGTATCTTTTATACTTTTGAATCTACGGACACTTAAATGTAGGCTACAATTTACTGCAAAAGCGTCTATACATATATATATATATATATAGCTTCACGACAATCTGTTGTAAAACAGGGGTTCCAGAAAACTCACTTCCCGATACTCCTGCAACATGAAATTTTTTTTACATTCGATTTGGACAAGGTCTAGACGCTCTGCAAAGTTTCAGATCTCTAACTCAATTTTAACAAGGTTTTTAAGGCACCTGAATATGGCGATTTTGGGTTTTTTACCTAATTTCGTATAACATGCTGGCGCGTATTTTGCGCAAATTTCTTAAAAACCTCCACATAACTATTTTTTATTCCTGTCATCTTTAACATTGAATTAGAATGTTTTGAACTTAAATATACCTGCTGAACTACTTTCGATGAGTCTTAATGCCTGGAAAACAATAAAGGGGATATAATAGTATAGGGGGTACATAGTGTTGTGAATATAAGGGCAACGGTTATGCTTGCCAGCATTGTGATCACGACAATCTGTCGTAAAACAGGGGTTCTAGAAAACCCATTTCCCGATGCTCCTGAAACTTGAAACTTTTTTTGCAGTCGATTTGGTCAACGTCTAGACGCCCTGAAAAATTTCAGATCTCTAACTCAATTTTGACATGGTTTTTAAGGCACCTGAATATGGCGATTTTGGTTTTTTTACCGAATTTCGTATAACAGTACTGGCGAGTATTTTATGCAAATTTCTTAAAAATCTCAACATAACTATTTTTTATTCCTGTCATCTTTGACACCAAATTAGAATGTTTTGACTTCCGATAAGTCTTAATGCCTGAAAAACTCCTGCCGGAGTGCACGCTTCGCGTGCACGAAAGAGGCTTCCGACGTGTACCAAAGGGGGTGTAAAGGGGTTATAAAAGTAAAGGGGGTATAATAGTTAAGGGGGTACAATAGTAAAGGGGGTACATAGTATACCCCCAATAAAGACACCGCTCGTGCTTGCCAGCACTGTGATATAAAGTGTGGATATTGTGGTCATGACATACGGTTAAAATGCTCCCCTGACGAGATTCAGATATTGGCGAAAAACTGTCTCGATCACGTGATATGACCGTATGAGGAAGTTAGTCTAATTTCTCGTTAGGGTTAGGGTTTCAGCAATCAGCATATGCAATTTTGTTAGGGATTGGGTTAGCTAGGGTTAGGGTTATGATCAGATATTGATAAGAGGGTTAGGGTTTCGAATAGTTGTTCAGGGCCAGCTAGAGAACGGGTTGAAAAAGTCACGTGACAGTCGAGTGTAGAGTGATAAATCATGATTCATGTTCACGTCAATTATAAATTATACGTAGGGACATCATTCATTTGTTGTTTGTTGAATTGTTTAATGATAATTGTCGCATCAACGTGAAAACAAGATAATTTTTAAAAATCTTCGTTCAGTTTTATTTAGCTTGAAATTTTGACTGTGACTAAAAGTGCATGTATTGCAACTAGACGCTCATGGATTTCAGAAGTTACTGTAGTTGCACCACAAGTCCGTGACATGGGCTAATTGATAGGGTAAACATGTATAACTCATTTGTTTCACCATGGCTATAAGGAACTTCTAATTTTACCTGGGGACCCCAGGCTATTTTGTTCATAAACATATACAGAATAAAGATTCGGCGGAATGACAGGCTGAGCGCCGCACAGTAACCTCTAATTTGTAGCGCGATGCACTACTGGGTCGCGCGCGCATCAAATAATGCTTCTCGCAACCACCTTCGGTAGATCGGCGAGATGCACCACTGTGCCTCACCGAGCTGCGAAGGATTGACATCGTGAATCAACCTCTAATCAGGTTTAGCCGATGAGTTTAACATCAAGCTTCATTAGACTTTAGTGTACCACCTCATGAACACAAGTAGTTGCGTTTAGTTGAAAAATAACGCTCCAACTCTCAATAATATCCTCAACTAATTAACACCAGTGTCGTGAGATAAGACTGATCACTATCTCGTTTATACCTGTGATCATCTCATCAGTCGGATGCTAATTGCTCGCAAAAAGGTGAAACAGGATCCAATTGATTAAAAATGGTCCTCGGTGATTAGACACCTTGTTATTTGAGTACAATGTAGAAGGCCAATCAGTACACACTGATAGTAATATGATTAGTACTTCGTTTAGTGTGCAGCAGTATTAAAGCTGTAGTTGTGGTAAAATACATTAGTGTTACTTTGATAACTTTGCCTACATTTGCTGATAGTGATAACATCGTTGATTTACATTTGTCACCATCATGATGCTTGATGTTTTGGACAAGTGTTTGATTAGGAATACTGACGGAGGAGTGAAAAAGTTTTTTGATATCGATCACTCCAGCTGCTTTGGGGTGAGACTTTTTTCTGGTTGTTTCAAATGAAATAGTGTTGTAACTTTTTGGTGAAAATTTAACATATAAATACAAATCACATTCTCTGATAAAACCAATAGCTAGTATCGAAATGTAAATCCTGAAAGCTACAATTCATGAAATTCTCTAGAGAAACAATGAGTTTGTAACATTAAGTTCACGCAGAAAGAATCGGTAAAAGAGAAGGGAGAAGGTGGGAGCAATGAAAAGTTTGAAGAAGGTACAGTTGTCGGAGTGGACAAGGTAAAATCAGACACATACAGAGTTCAATTCCTCCTCAAAACTGGCTTCATTCAGGTGCGAAAAAATTAACCTCCCGCATTTCGCATATATTCTAGTGTTCCTCATTATCCTTTCATTGTTGCAAGTCATTTTCACGTCCAAAAGTTCGTACACATTTGTTTCGAAACTGATAGTTTTTAAGACCCTGACTTCTAAGATCGTTTAACATCATTTCCGTTTCAGCTGGTGAAAGAAGTGCCGTCTCGTCTGCCGTTTCTAATACCGGATAAAGGTTGGGCTGTCTGCACTCCTACCAAACTGCATAACAGGTGCGGCTTCTGAAATAAAGTTGGTATCAGAACATTATAATGATTACAACATTATCATGATTATTCATATTGCACGTTCTTCCAATGGAACACGATTATATGTACTTAAATAAACATCGAACATTTCAAGTTTGATGATCTATTTTTGTAACTATTAAAATTAAAATTAAGTTTCCGCAGAGTAAGCAGATTACAAGTTCGGGACAAAATAGTCTTCAAGGTGGACGGAGATATGCCCCAATCTAGAGGATCTCTGAAACAGAGGTTGGACAGTGCTATGTTTGATGACTCAGACTTCAAAACGAGCAACCTCCTTTTTCCTCCTCTACCTCAGATAACGAGAGAAGCAGACACCACCTCTTCCACTAACACAGCCTCTTCCACCAGCACAGCCAAGTGAGTACTCCTCATGTTAAATTTCATCCAGCGACTCTAACGTTTCCGAATATTATTTGTGTAGAATTCTAGCGAACACCGCTGTCTAGCAGTTCTAAATTTCTAACATGACGTGTTCTCGTTGTCTTTAGGTTGCAGTTCGTGTGTTTCTAGATCCATATTCTCCACGTGGTTAGGGCCCTTATTTCTGATAGTAGTTGTCCCCTTAGTGGCGTGGACCACGCACGAACCAAGTGCGTCGTGGTAGGGGCCCGACAACATAGCTGCAAAATCTTGCAGAGCAAGCGAGGTTACCAATTTTGTGATTGGTCGACAAGACGAAGTGTCATGCTGCTTACTACACGTGTCTTGACACGCGGTCACTCTCTATTGTTCTTTTGCAACTATAGAGATAATTGTCCGCTGATCTGGATTCAGCACCCCCTACAAGCATAGCAGTAGGAGCATGTGAGATTCTAACAATCAGCTGCTCCGACTAACAGTGTTTTCAAATTAGACCTACAAACCATTCACTGTAACACTATTTTCAGGGACCGGAGGGAGATTAAAGGAAAGCTCATGAGCCACATTGTAAGCTCAACCGTCACTACTTCTAAGGAGAGAGAGGAGTTGGTGATGAGCTCCAAAATGAAACGATCCATCCCCGGTAAGTAGTGTCCCAGTGTTTCGAGCATGACAAAAGTCATTAAATCATAAGTCCTGTTCGAACGGGCGAACAGCAACTTGACTCAATGTCTTTAGTCACACCCAAGGTTTGGCATATGCAGCCTCGTTAAACTTGATCTGAAAATTTCAGGTAGAACAAGATAGTAATAATAATATTTCTGGTTGTGGTTGTGATGATGTTAAACATAAGTTAGGTCAGCAGGTGTGACTAACGACTATTTTAAGTAAAGTCAGACTTTGTGTCAGCTTCATTTAAATTTAGCAGATAAATAAGTATGTGATATCAAAATAACCCGTTATCTTACCACAGGTGACTTCAGAAGTTCTGTGGAGGCTGGTAGGACAGGAAAGCATGGGCTGACGGATCCTAACGATAGTACCGTATCACAGAGCAGCAACATGTCACACACGGAGCACGTCCCAAATGTTACAATCATTCGCCGGTCCCAGATCCCACAATCCCTTGTAACACCCCTCGTAACACCTTCCCTGGTAACGCCTTCCCTGGTAACACCCTACAACACTTCTTACCCTGTAACAACACCTCCCCACAGTTCCGGAGAGTGTGATGTCACTTCAACTCACATCACTCCAGTCCACTCCATCGACCAATCACATCCCCCTATTCAGAACATTGACCAATCACAGCCGCCTATTCAGAGCATCGACCAGTTACGAACGCCCATTCGGAACATTGACCACTCACAGTGGTATTTATCACGGTACGCAGCAAGTTTGGACGCGACCCCCACCAACCTGCACACCCCCACCAACATGCACACCCCAACTAGCAGCTTCCTGAACAGGACGGACGTGGACCGGACTCCTGTTAACTTTGCGGAGGTCCCTACTCCTACACAAGATGACCTGGTCCACACCACCATCCTCCACACCCCCATCAGACGTCGTGTTATCAGCAAACCAGCCGTCTCCACAGTGACCGTCAGTAAGACGGTCAGTATCCCCGTCAGTACGGAGAGAGAAGGAGAGAGGAGGGAGGAAGGGGTAGATACTGAGTCGGAGTTAGGACTTACTATCTCTATCAGCACTGAGTCTATAAACGTAACTGACGACTAGTCCGTCAAAAAATGGGGTCTTTTTAAAGTTTTGAATGTTTTGCGTTTACAAACTCTATTAAACTTATAAAAGTTATATAATAAGGTGTTGGCTATGTTCTGTTCTTGATATTTGTAGTATTTTGTTGTGAATTATAGTAACAATTCGTATTATTCTGTTATGCAAGCTATTTGAAAATTGCTCAATGATTCCTTGCAAATGCTGGTAATACAACTACCAGAGATAGGTACAATATTTACCTATAGTTTTCCTAGATTTAGTGCTTAGTCTGTTAACCAACTCACCCTGTAGTTACCCTGGCATTTTTATTTCATTTTCATTTGCAGCTGTTACACCAAATTAGATTGGTTGCATTTAATATCGTTGATAATTCCTAAGTGAGATCAATAAAATGTCTTACTGATGACCAGGCTAAATTATTTTACTTCAAAAATGCCTATTAAACTTACTATGGGTTCTGGGTAAGAAGGAGGAAGTGATACGTTAACGATAACACAACTAGTCCTAGTTCGTTCGAACCGCCTTCCTGTAACCAACACGGCAACGATTCGCATATTTCTATTTCAAACCGTGATCGGGTTGTGCGGATCAATGAGCTGGTACCGGAAATGGGCTCGAGGAGAGAGGACCCCTCCCAATACCAATCGCTGGCTGCTAGTTCCCAGAGAGGCTGATTGATATCATCCGGCCTGGTTCCTGAAAGCGAGACCACCAACTCCCACCTTCATCAACCAATTATCTCGTAATCTCATTAACAGTGCAATCAGGCAGCGACGATAAATCTAGTTTAAGCGGATTGATTGCGCCGAAGATTAATTATAATTGGGTTGCGGTCCGAGGAGGCAGCCTCCATCGCATTTCCTGAGCGAGTCCAGGATGAGCGACAACTTGGCGGAGTCGACTCACCTTCCTACTCACACTACACTTATTCAGTCTTTTTTTTGCTTGTTTACTTTAGTACTGCCCTAGATTTTTCTAGAATTCTCAGTTTCAGTTAAATTCAGAGTCGCAACGTCAGACTCATTAAAATCGTGAACGATGGCACTTTTGTTAACACCAAATAAAGAGATCAAAACTATTATAGTTAGATAATGATTGATGTTGCTTCAATTGTAACGGTCATTTGGCTTAAAACAGTAGAGCAGTAGACGCTCTAAACTATAGTCCACCGTAATTACTGATAATTATCAATAATTTTAGACAAGTAGTGGTCCTGTAGGCAACCGAACAGACCTCTGTACTCTAGAGGCACACTGCCAATGTAGGTATATCCCAAACTAACTCTGAGTTTTCATTTAACAGTGGTCTATGAGTTACATTGAACTATTTTTCAATACTCCTTCTGCCTAATGGTCTGATGTTGGCGCACGCGCAAAGTGAGAGAGCTATTGTCTCGCAACAAGTAGTAGCACTAGTAACTACAACACCTCAACAGGAGGAGACAAAGAGCATGCTATCACTGGGGTGAGAGGAGGTGTATGTCCGGACTCCGCACTTGTAATACGTTCTGCCATTGTCTAGTAGTTTTAAGAACACACTGCCAGTGGTGACCTCTCGTGAGTCGTGATGGTACGATTTTAAAGAGGTCATGGCCGCATTTCTTATAATAAACTTAGCCAACACTTACAGTACACACCCATCTACCCAATAGTGCATAGGCGTTTTCCAGACACGCGTGACTCTTTAAATATATGTGAACCATCAGCACAGTTCAAAGTTCCATTTATTTTTGATCCTTTTACGGTTTAATACTGCCTCCATGACATACAACATATAAAACATAAAAAATTTGTCTGTAAATACAAAGTCGTTTGGAGCTGCATGGTCCAATAGTAAATAACAAAACAAATTGATCGTTCGACGGAATATGCATTTTCAGTATCGTTCACAACCACCCTTTTTCGTTTTAACTTATTAAATATCCGAAAACGCTATGTTGCTTCGGTGATAATGATGTAAAGCGTTTTATGTTCGTTGTTTGTGCGACCCTGGCTCACAGGTCACTTAGATTAGTTGATACGTATTCTAGAACGGTTTTATTCTTAGCTAATCTTCATAAACAAAGATATAGTAGAGACGAGTAAATAGTTAGATCAATAAAAGCAAGTCGTTAAACTTATCACTCAACACAACAGAACAGAGTTGATAACATACTCCACTGATTTTAAACAGCTGATCTCAGGTCTTACTAAATTTAAATACAATGACCAGAGTCGATAATACAATTATCAACTGGCGAGATGAAAAGTCAGGTAAGACGCTGGTGTGGTACCCGGAGGCTGGTACCCACAAATAAAACCAATTTGTGGATGACCGGACATTTGGTGAGCATGACCACCCTCCGTCATGCGGAGAGCGCCTGATATTTGAGTAGCGTTTTTTATTGTTGAACTCGTTGTACTTGTAGAGCAGACTCGAACTTGAATTTAAATTAAATTTTCCGGAGAATAAGGCAGATAGTTTTTGGTATAGTGTTCGTAGAGTTATTGTTCCCGTTATATTATCACCTTGAAGCGGCGTAGACTGTAGAGGAGATAGAAATCAAGAAATCTAAAATGTAGCAATTATTCTGTTATTGTGCTTTTGAGTTTTGAGATTATTATTGGAGCTAAGGTTACAAGTGGCTAAGAGCAGGAAGCCCTGTGCTTGATTGGGTGCTGTGTGGGAGAATTAAGCGACAGTTCTAGGATTCCCGCTTATTGCTCAGTGATGACAAGGGTTTCGAGACAAATTATACTAAAATATTCGAGACAATTATTGCCGCTGGGGATTATGATCAGAGTTTTACCAAAAATAATTGTTTTGAGTTTTCTTAATCGAGCTCTTACACCATACTACATTGTCAACTTTCATAACGTCATTAATGACCATTCCATTAAAATTTTATAGATTCGTCTTCGCCAAATTTTTCAACCACCTCCTCAACTCCCTACGGATCTCTGTGTCGGCGATGACTATAAGTAGCAGCATAACTGTTAGCATGCATGATCCCAATCAACCACTAGGATCATCCCCCACCAGATTCTCCTCCTCCTCCCTTGTTTGCTGGAGAGGGTATGTGCCCCAATTTGTCACCAGTTATTACCACCAGCCACTAGCTTCAGTTAGTCCACTTAACGTGATTATAGTTTTGCCACGGTTCACTAACCTTCAGACACCTTATATCCACTATTTTGGTTCATTTTTAGTCATTTGATAACGGATAAAAGTGCCATGGTATAACTAAAGCTGTTGAGTGAAAATGTGAGGAAGAAAGGATAGATTGTGGAGGTGAAGGAGGGGGCGGTTAACAAGAGGACAATACGGCCCGCACATATGTCAATACCATTCGTATAATTGATTGATCACCATTTGTCGGGAGAGTCTTTAACTCGCGACATGATGACTCTCTATTTTTGATCCATAGGCGGTTTTTGGGGAGAGGAGATTAGGGAGGTTTGATTGGCTGTTGACTGACATGTGACAGGAGGAAGTCTTCTGATAGGTCAGCTCACTCCCGAGTAACCTCTAATTTGGAGGGTTCACAATTCAGGATGCCGGGCAAAGTGAGACAGCGTGTCGAACCTCTACTAAGTTGCTTAATTGTTAAAGCAGTGTTCCTATTCCCGATTCCGTTTACTGTTAGCAGTATTTCGGATTTGAGTAGGCTATTGGTGGTAGCTCACGACTGTTGGCACACAAACTGATCAAGAGCGGATCCCGGACATCACACAGTCAATATGAGGTACGTCCCCCCCCCCCCCCCCCCCCCCATCACCACCCCACGTCCCCCACCAATATTTCTTCATTTCTTTTGACAGTTGACAGATTAGCGGGTCTGAGGGCGGGCTAAACCACTGGTCTGAGTGATAATGAAACCAATAGGCATAGTCCCCTCACGTTTCATACCTTAATCTATGATAGGCTCTTGGTCTCTCCGCTAACTCAGATCGTGTCGAATGATTGTTCGGTTACATTTACTTTGGATGCCGACTCTTGATATCGCTTTGAGTTTGGCTGTAGCTCAGGTTTAGAATTTCGAGTTTAAACTTCATTTCCTTTTGTAGTGCCGTTTCTCACTTGTCCATTCTAATTTTATTTCCGTTTCAAAATATCTCCCATCTTTTGGCTGTTTTGGAGTCGTCATTACGTGTCTCCGGGCTTATCTCCACCGTACTCCGCCCACACAGGACTAACTCAGCAAGATAGGTGAGTGTCAGGCCAATCTGTTTAACTTAGTCTAGCTAGTTTAACACTAGTCTTTATTTAGTCTTTATCTGGAGTAACCATGGTTCAGTGGATATTAAAATGAATTGACATAAGATCTGCATGTACGCATAGAATTGCCGATAAATTTGGATGAAGACAGGCTAGTTAAAGTTTGATGTGGTATAACTAATGGCACATGCAGAAGTTCGCATAAATGACTGCCGACTCCAGCTAGGAACCACAAATTTTGCTCTTTTTTGTCGGTCGTTTTTTTTCCTTGCCTTTTTGCGTAGATGAGTATCGATTAAGAAGTTAGTTTCCCATTTAGCCATTATAATATAGACCACGTCACATTCATACAATTATAGACGAGTTCTTAGATCTAGATGTCGTTTTACAACCTTTATCTAAGTTAAATGTTGATGTTTGACTACTTGAACGGCACCAGGTTTTGTAATGTCAATGCTATTCGACACCACTTGCGGTGACGCTGTTTTGAGTTTTGTGTTCGTCTACAAGTACAACAATGATGTGAAGCTGAAAACATATGCCGAGTGAAGTATGTTATTAGCGTACATTAAGTGCAGTAGTAATATTAACCAGCTCCAACTCTCAGTCTGAAGAGACAAAGCTGGTAAATTTAGGAAACATCAAGCTGGCAGGCCATCTCCACAGTTAGTACTGCTTAACACTACAGCTCGTACACCGTGATGAAGCGGGTAATTCTCGGTTAATGCAGCAAAGAGGATTGGTACATCTGGTGAAGGGATGTGTAGCCGGTGAGGCCGATGATTGACAAAGCAGTACAGGGGATCTCACAGAAACCGTACTGCCGGAACAGTCTAGTTCGTTGTAATTTTAGGATCCATGCCATAGAAGAATGTTCTGATGGTTTGGATCTCACGGTTCGCACCGCGGCGTCGTGACCAACTAAATAAATGTTTCACCATGGTAACAAAAACAGGCAAAA